TAAGAATTCCTCATATCAGTGAGGTCATATGATACATGTCTTTCTCTGTTTGACTTATTTCGCTCAGCATAACACCCTCCAGTTTCATCCATGTCATTGCAAATGGCAAGAGTTCATTCCTTTTGATGGCTGCAAAATATTGCATTGTATATATATACCACATCTTCTTTATCCATTCATCTGTCGATGGACATCTTGGCTCTTTCCAAAGTTTGGCTATTGTGGACATTGCTGCTATAAACATCGGGGTGCACATGCCCCTTCGGATCCCTACATTTGTATCGTTGGGGTAAATACCCAGTAGTGCAATTGCTGGGTCATAGGGTAGCTCTATTTTCAACTTTTTGAGGAACCTCCATACTGTTTTCCAGAGTGGCTACACCAGCTTGCATTCCCGCCAACAGTGTAGGAGGGTTCCCCTCTCTCCGCATCCCCGCCAACATCTGTCGTTTCTGACTTGTTAATTTTAGCCATTCTGACTGGTGTGAGGTGGTATCTCATTGAGGTTTTGATTTGGATTTCCCTGATGCCGAGAAATGTTGAGCACTTTTTCATGTGTCTGTTGGCCATTTGGATGTCTTCTTTGCAGAAATGTCTGTTCATGTCTTCTGCCCTTTCTTGATTGGATTCTTTGTTCTTTGGGTGTTGAGTTTGATAAGTTCTTTATAGATTTTGGATATGAGCCCTTTATCTGATATGTCATTTGCAAATATCTTCTCCCGTTCTGTCGGTTGTCTTTTGGTTTTGTTGACTGTTTCCTTTGCTTTGCAAAAGCTTTTTATCTTGATGAAGTCCCAATAGTTCATTTTTGCCCTTGCTTCCCTTGCCTCTGGCGATGTTTCTAGGAAGAAGTTGCTGCGGCTGAGGTCGAAGAGGTTGCTGCCTGTGTTCTCCTTTAGGATTTTGATGGATTCCTATCTCACATTTAAGTCTTTCATCCATTTTGAGTCTATTTTTGTGTGTGGTGTAAGGAAATGGTCCAGTTTCATTCTTCTGCATGTGGCTGTCCAACTTTCCCAACACCATTTGTTGAAGAGACTGTCTTTTTTCCATTGGACATTCCTTCCTGCTTTGTCGAAGATTAGTCGTCTAGTCCTAATTTCTACGAACACATCTTGAACCTCTGAGATGGGACAGGCATTAGGGGTTCATGTGAATAAGACAGACACTTTTTTGCCTTCATGAGACTCATGCTCTAGAAGGAGATGCAGACACAGCAGTGTGATGAACGGAATGATGAAGCCTGAAGCGCCTTTTTGCAGGGGAAGTGCTGGGCTTCCTGGAAGCACATGGCAGAAAGACAGAGCCGAGCACTGGAGACTCATCTGAGCCCACTGACTCATGACTTGTGCACAACCCTCACATCCTTTTCCATAGACACCAGAAGCCACCAAGGACATTTGAGGTGAGTGAAGGTTAATGATCCTCCCACAACTGATTAGGTTATAATAAAAGCAAGTCTCAGGCCAAATTCTACGACATGGATGACCACTTATTACACAAATGTTTATTAGCAAGCAGACACAGAACAGGTCACACCATCTATTCTGTAAAGTTCAAGGAAGTCCCAGAAATCTGTCCTTGCAGAAGTTGGCAAGCGTTTTTCTTTTCTTTTCTTTTTTGTAAGGGGCTTAGATAGCAAATGTTTTAGGCTTTGCAGGTCAGACAGTCTCTGTTGTGATTGCTCATCTCTGCCACTGCAGTGGAAAGGGACACAGACTATCCGCACACAAAGGGGTGTGGCTCTTTCAATAAAAGCTTATTTACAAAAACAGGTAGCCAACACCAGAGCTGTCCTTTGCCTACTTCTGTTCCAGGGGCAAAATCAATTACCCTTCTAGTAACATCAGTAAACCAGGAATCCTCCTTATGCAATGGGTGACCAGGGCTGTTTGGGAATCAATCACCCTAAGTTCAAGGCTAGAAGTCTTACTGGGTTCTCCTTCATTATGTATGTCCGGAAAGAGCTTTAAAAATATCTTGGCCAGCCCACATATTTTGATTACCTTCAATTTCACTAATTAGAGCCCACTCATACTACTTATTATTATGCTAGTCAACAGGTCCCCAATTTCAACCACAACAACCAATTTCTGACACTTAGCATGCTAATTAACAAAATGAGAGTTAGCGATCAAGATCTGGCATCGGAAACACCTGGGCAATGCAGCATTGTCTCTGGAGTAGGAGCTTCTTGACAGGGATACCAACAGATTTTCAATGAACCATGTGTTCTTGATTGGAAGGCTGGAAGCACTGGGTTTAACCTATAACTACAGCTTAACCTAGAACTCATCCATAACATTCCACTGTTAAATATTTGAGAGTAACTCACCGACAATGTAATGTGGAGTCTGGAAGCCAAGAAGGCTCTCCTGAAAGAAAGGGCCTTGGGCAAATGATGAATAGGATTTAACCAGGTAAAGAAGCAAGGTGTGCGGGGAATAGGAGAGGGAGGATAGGGGGTGGGAAGGTTAAACCCTGGGCAGAGGAGACAGCATATTTAAAGTTCAAGAGCCAAGAACAAAAGGAGCAAATAGTCATGCAGATTCTGACACAGGAGTAGACAAACCATGGGAACAGAAATCCCCCATCCCCCACTCAAGCCCCCCCCCCCCCCCACCCAGTGATGAGTTAGGCCAGTCTGGATGTTAAACATTCTTTTTTTTTTTTTAAGATTTTATTTTTAAGTAATTTCTACACCTAACGTGGGGCTCGAAGTTACAACCCCGAGATCAGGAGTCACATGCTCTACCAACGGAGCCAGCCAGGTGCCCGCATTCCAAATCTTTATATACCATTCCTTTCAGTGAGCGTAACAACCTATCAGGTGGCCACTATTTGTATCTGCATCTGAGAGGCAAGGAAACCGAGGCACGGAGTGGGTAAGCAGCTTGTCCCAGGTATGCGGCTCCAGAGCTCGCCTTCTGTAGCAGCGCATCCTTGTACCTGCTGGGGAAGGCGTTGTGCATCTCTGAAAACGGCAGAGCCATCCAGGGAAAGGGCTGGCTGCAGATGAAGCCCAGATCGGATGCCCACCCCTCTGTTGGAGGTCGGATGAGAAAGGCTTCACAGGGAGCAAGGCACTTGGGTCACCTGATGAGGCTGATCCAGGGGACAACTGCGCCCAGGGGACAGAGGTTCACTGCAAGGCAGGAAGGTGGGGGGCAAGGTGACAGAGGCTGGGTCTCCACTGCAGTTACTATCTAGAGAAGCAGAGTCTGCAGGGACGATGTCCTGCAGTCATTGTGACGATGAATTTAAAGGGTGGTCACAAAGGGTCCGCCACGTAGGTGGGTTGTGTAAAAGTTCCAGTTGTAAGATGGGATTTGGGGAAAGGCGAATTGGGGGACAGGATGAGCAGAGGGTGGCACACTTTCCTCTTTCTCCTTAGGGGACTTTGCAGCTGAGGATGTGGGTCTGGACCCCAGCGGGGGCCATCACTCCAGGTCCGTGAACTTGCTTAAGTGAAACAAGAGTGCTAGGTGGGATGGCCACGGAAGAGGCTCTGCCTTGAGGTTCTAAGGCCCACCTGGGTCAAGTGGAGATAGGGGCCTCACAAGGCTGACAATGACAGTGCTCTGCCCATTCCTTCCCATCCCTTTATACCATTGTTGTGCCCCTCCACCTTTTGTCTGCATGCGCAGACAGCCAACACTTCCTGAGAATTTCCTCCCCCAATCCTCCCTCTGCATCCCAGCCCTAACCACGCAGGCAGCTCCCTTCCCTGATCGGGGGCAAGACTGATGCATGACCTGACCTGCAGAGTTCTCCTGCAGACCAGGTCGCAGCCCCCTTTGCTGGACATAGCCTGAAGTTGCACCTTGGCCTCCTGCCCTTCCTTGTCCTTCCCCCACCTCCCTTCCCAGACTCCCCGGGGAAAAGTTCCTTCATCCATCACCTGCACGCAAATCTCTACCTCACAGTCTGATTCCAAAGAAGTAACTAAAGATGCCCCCACGAAGCCAGAGACAGCATGGCTAAAAGGAAAACTGAAATACAGCCATCGAAAAGTGTTTTCTAGGTAAGTCCTAGAACCAGCAAGTTCTGTCCTCCCATAAATAAGATAACTGCTCTGGTAGAGTTCCATGGAAAATGCAGCGGGAGCCTGGGAGGGAATACCCATGGCAGCTTGGAGCAGTCAGGGAAAGCTTCCTGGAGGAAGCAGCATGTGAGCTAAGACTTGAAGATGAATGGAGCTTGTCTCACAGACATGGAGAGAGAGGCCACAGCAGTAGGAGAAACAGCATAGGCAAGGACAGAGGGTGGGAAACATGGTGTGTTCTAGGAGCTACACGTGGCTCTGGAGTGCTGGAGTCTCGAGGTAAGAACCATGCTGGGAGGTAAACTGCATGAAACCCACTCGTCAGAACCTTGTGTGGGCGGGGGGGAGGGCGGGGAGAAGGGGAGAGGAAATGGAGAATCCCAGACTCATTTCAGGTCTTTATTTTGATCTACTGGATGCAGTTCACTGACATGAGGAACACAGAACGAGCAATCAGTATGGAAGGGGAGACTGGTTCATTTTTGGATGCTTTGAGCTGCCTGTCAGACATCCGGGTGAGCACTCGGTTCTGGGTGCATCCAATGCCTGTGCTACTTAATTTACGTTTTTTGTTTTTTTTTTTAATTTTAACTCCGGCAAAATCCGGAGTGGTCTGATTCCCAGAGTCGGTGTGCTTAAACGACACAATACACAATGCCTGTCTGGGAGGTCCTGGTGTGGTTAAACACTGGACACAGGAAGGGCTATAAAGTGAGAAGAGGGATGGGGGGTGTGGAAGCGGCAAATCTGAGGGCGTGTCCGCGTCTATGGGCACAGCGTCCCCTGGAGTTCTGCAATGCCCTCCATTAAAGACCCTGGCAAAGAGGCGGCTACGGAGGAGGAAATTAAAGATGCAGGGAGAAAGAAAACCGCATCACTGAAGGGTGTGGCCCCAGGACAGGTTCAGCGCCGCCTGTCCCCGAGGAAGCACCGCCCGCCCCCCCACCCCACTCACCGTCCTCCTCTGTTTGCACCACCAGCTCCTCGCTCTCCATCCGGCCCTCGGGGTTAGAAAGCAGCAGCCGCAGCCGGATGGTCATGAAGGGGCGCAGGCCCCGCAGGGTGTAGTGGGAAGAGGTCTGAATGACCTCTTCAGCCTCGTACTGCTGCTGGTTGAACACGTATTGGTACTGCACGGTGAGGTTGAAGCTGTGGCAGCGGGTCACCGCGTAGCCGAACGGTTCCCACTGCAGGGTCAGCTGCCGAGCGCGGATGTCCACAATCTCCACGTTCTGCGGGCCGTGCACGGGGTCTGCAAGACACACACGCAAGACACGGGGGCTTTGAGGACTGTCCGGAAGCGGGTGGGGGGGATGTTCTGCTAAAACAGGAGTGACCAACCCTCCAAACTTAGCTCAGCCACAGCCATCATGACTATTGCCACAGAGAATACAATTTAATTAACATTTTTCTGTAAATCGAACTCTTTTCTTCTTACTTAAACGCATGCATCTAAAAGAAAATGTAACTATGTAAAGGGAAAACCCGAATCACTTGCCATACGTAAATGTTAGCCATTAAAAAAAATGCAAAATTGTTAAATTCTTAAAGGTTCATCAGGGTACCCCAGAAAACCACCCTGAGTACCACCAACAGCACACACAACACCCCGGGGATATACTAACTGAGATGGTTGCTGGAGTTCTGACCTGCCTTACATTTAATCCAGCCACATCCTCACCCCTTGGGAAATCAGCCCCCTCACTCTCATTAACCACACTGAGGTGCACAGGCTGCAAATCCAGCCACAGGCTCAGCACATGGCACTCAGTCTGTCCACACGGTCACAGGCGCCGCTAACTACACCTTGCAATTTCCCCTCCTTCCACTGACAACACGGCTCAGTCAGTTAAGCGTCTGACTCTTGATTTCGGCTCAGTTCATGATCTCAGGGTTGTGAGATTGAGCCCTGCATTGGGCTCCGAGCTCAGAGTGGAGCCTGCTTGTGATTCTCTCTCCCCCTCTGCCCCTCCCCCTGATCACACACTCTCTTTCTCTAAATCAGTCAATCTTTAAAAGCAGATATGGTCATGCTTTCACACTCTACTGCTATACCAACCTTTCCCACGTGGTCCCAGACCCCCATATATAACACTGGCTGTCTTATTTTACTACCAATATTCTGTTTATACTTCATGTAAAATAGATGCTTTTGTACAAAACAGATTATAACAAACCAAACACTTAAAAAAAAAAAATCCCCGCATGTGAAGTCATTCTGTAAATCTTAGGCATTTCTTATAATAGAAGCATAACTTCTTTTGTGATCAGCAATCCCATAAGCTCTTGTGTTGACTATCTTAGCTGGAAGTACTTAAGCACTGGCTAAAGATTAAATCAGTATTTTCCCTCTATACTACCTATTGGACTTTACCAAGTTCTGTCATTTCTTTGGGTTCATCTTTTATTTCATTTATAAAATGGGGATAACAGTAGTACTAACCTCACCAGTGGGGGGTTAAATGAAATGTTGTTTGCAGAGCAGTTAGAATTGTACCTTGAACTTAGTAAGCACTCAATATATGGTGGTTTTTCTTTTGCAGCAATAGGAATAGTGATACAAATAATAAGGTTTCGTATGCTGTCTCTACTCTGAAAGTCTTCTAAATGGCAGAGCTGTGAAGCATCCTTATGCAAAATGACGGATTCTATCACCCTAAGAGCATTTGGGGGTATTTGAATTTAGGGGTATTCGCATTCTGTCTCCTAAGAGCATTTAGGGGTAAGGCCGCCCCTGTGTCATCAATGTAGCAGTAGGAAAGAGGGAGGGACTTGATGCAAACTGAGTTCCCTGACCTGCCCCTAGAGGGAAAAACATCCTGTGAACTGTGTCAGAGCCTTGCCAAGGAACACACTTCCAAGCAGTCTTCTTTTGAGCAGGATGCCCAAAAATGTCAGGGGGCCTGGCAAGCCAGCCCAGACCTGCACCCGTGCTGCCGGGGACAGCGAGCAGCCTGGCTCCGGATCGACTGAGTTCACGGTCACTTGTACAGCCCAATTATTCATGTTCACAGGTCCTTTGTGTAAGAGAGAGCCAGCGTTCCAAAAGCAAATGGGTGACTTTGAAAATGTGACATTGAACAAGCTGTTGCTGAGGGTGCATTGTGCTGAGCCCACACAGAATAAGGTGAAAAGTGTGGTCCCCGTAGTGGGGGTGGGGGGAGGTTATAATGTGGTGTGGCCGATTGGTTTAACAGGTCCTGATGGCATGAGGACAAATGTACAAGTACAGGATGAGCGAGAAACCGCTTGCCTGGGAAGTCTGCACCTCCCCACTGGCCTCGCCCAGCTGGAGCCTTTCTGCAGGTCCAGACGCCAGAACTCTCCCAGCCCCGCTCAGGACCTCACGACATGCCTCCTCCGGGGGTGCCGTCAAAACGGACGCCACACCCCAATAAGATCATCACTCCTCGGGCACTCTCACCTCATCTCCTTAGAGAGTGAGAACAGCAACATGTAAGACCCTTTTAAATCCAAGAGTTGACCAACTTGTTAAACATCTTAAGATGTACCAAGCCCAATAAACCCCTGGCCAGACTTATCAAAAAGA